GCGGTGTTTTTTTGCATCCTACCCTTGAAGCCGGGTTTGTTTCTCGCTGGTAAGACCCCAGCGTTGTTGCCGATTCTGTTGCTGATGTGGTACTTCAGGGTATGGAACTTTTTATTCCATCCTCTGTGGTGCTCATCGGGGGCAGATCCCAGCCATGGTTTGGTCGCTCCTATAAAATAGCATCACGTTATAAGCAGGAGTGCTACCGGGCCTGGGCTGACGCATCAATGTATCGGGATGTAAACACCAACGCTTTTAAAAAGAAGTATAATTCCGTCTCCAGGTCCTTCAAAAGCGTCATTGCCAAGGCAAGGTCTGAGCACATCGGCAGAACTGGCGAGAAGCTAGTTCGCCTTCCTTCGGGAACCCGTGCATTCTGGTCTCTCGCCAAGGCTGTCCAAGGGAACTTCTGTTAGCCATCTCTTCCATCTCCGCACAGAGAGGGCGACTCACTGGCCCATGCCGCAAAGGAGAAAGCCGATCTGTTATGCTCTCTCTTTGCGTCCAACTCGACTCTAGATGACGGGCGGAACACCCCGCCGGCCATCTCGCGGTGTAAGCGCTCCATGCCGGATATGCGGTTTACACAGCGCTCGATTTGCAAAGCACTCTTCTCCCTGGACGTTAGCAAGTCGAGTGGGCCTGATAATTAGTGACTGCCAGTACAGTTTTCGTCGGGGACGATCAGCTGGTGATCTTTTGGTCTTCCTGACTCATAGATGGGCGGTGGCAGTAGAGTCCAAGGGGGAGGCATTGGCCGTTAGTTTGGACATAGCGAAGGCCTTCGATCGGGTCTGGCACAAAGCGCCTCTTTCGAAGCTTCCTTCCTATGGGCTTCCCGAGAAATTGTGCAAATGGATCACCAGTTTTCTTGCTGATCGGAGCATCAAGGTCGTAGTAGCCAGTGCATGCTCTGATTTCAAGCCTGTCAGCACTAGTGTTCCACAAGGCTGCGTGCTATCACCAACGCGTGGTTTTTACGTGGTAGAGCCATGCTGCAGCTATATTAGTAGTATAGTTGTAGCACGAATGGGTCGGCTCGACCGGGGAAGGACCACGCTCCCACAGAGTACATCAACGCATGTGAATTTTGATTCTTTATTGAGGATAAATGTAGATGTCTATGGGCCACAGCAACCACATACCATCAGGTGGACTGTGTGCTCGTTTGTCACCCTATCCTATAAAAAAGAACGCTGTTTCTCCTGCATATCAATGATATGTTGCAAACTTGTAACATTCATTGCTATGCAGACGACAGCACTGGTGATGCCTTATATACCGGCCGTGCCAATATTTATCGGGACAACGTCGCCGAGTACCGAGACAAACTTGTGTCTGAAGTCGAGTCTTTGCTGAACAAAGTCTCGGATTGGGGGCGACTAAATCTAGTCCAGTTCAATCCCCAGAAGACACAAGTTTGCGGCACTCCCCTTGCTGCCTCAGCTAGCATCGGTATCCTCGGCATCGACATATCGAATAGTGTGCAGTTTCGTGGTCATTTGGAAGGGAAGGCCAAATTGGCCTCTAAAAAACTTGGCGTGCTCAGCAGAGCGAGACACTATTTCATGGCGGCACATCGCTTGCAACTTTACAAAGCGCAAGTTCGGCCTCACATCGAATACTATTCTCGTCTCTGGGCCGGGGCACCCCAGTGCCAGCTTGTTCCACTTGATCGTATTCAGCGCAGAGCGGTTCGAATCGTCAACGACCGAGTTCTTTCTGATCGGCTCGATACACTGGCACTGCGTAGAGATGTTGCATCCCTTTGCATTTTCTATCGAGTTTACCACGGGGAGTGCTCTGAGGAATTGTTTGGATTAATTCCCGCCGCCAAATTTCACGAACGCACATCGCGTCAAAATTCACGATACCATCCTCACCATCTGGTTGCTTGGCGGTCCACAACTGTGCGTTTTACTAGGAGTTTTCTTCCGCGTACGACTTCTCTGTGGAATTGTTTACCATTGGCGATTTTGCCGGACCGATATGACTTAGGGACCTTCAAAAAAAGAGCTTACACCTTTCTAAAAGACCGGCAACGCATCTGCAATACCCCTGGTGTTGCGGTTGTTCATGGGTGGCGGTAGTCACTTACCATCAGGTGAGCCGCATGCTCGTTTGCCCTCTCTTCTATAAAAAAAAAATAGTATAGTGACTGTGTAAGAATATCCGTCCCGTGAGTATCGTAAGAGGCGTCAGATGCAAACAAACCGGGAAATTGGCAGCAGCGTCTCCCTAATAACAAACAAAAGAATAAAAAATTCCGGTTGCCACCACGCCTGCCAAGTGTCACAACTGTGGCAAATATATAGGACAATCTATCGGGGAGGCCTTTGTTCAGCAGTGGCTAGTCTGCAACAGTAACGGTGACGGTTATCAATTCAAAAACAGATTTAGACATAAAGACATAAACATAAAGACATTTATTCCAACACTTCAGATTACAATCACAAATTACAGTACAGGTGAATAAACAAAATTAATACGAATAAGAATAAAATGAAACCAACAACACAAGAAAATGAATAAACAAAAAAAAAATAGAGGGTATAACAACAATCTTCAAACTTCATAGAATCACTTCGGTATCTACTCTTTTATAGGTCGTATTTTATAATTTTCTTTTATAGGATAGGGTGACAAACGAGCACACAATCCACCTAATGGTATGTGGTTGCTGTGACCCATAGACATCTGCATCTATCCTCGTCTGCGAATCAAAATGCAGATGCGTTGTCACCCGTGAGGACTAAGATGGAATGGCCTCTTTTCCAGTAAAAAGGGTCTCCGGTTCTCTACACTCAACATACGAAACACAGCAGTGTTAAGCTGCTATTTTACGCTGGTATTCTGTGAGAGCGTAGTCCTTCCCCGGTCGAGCCGACCTATTCCTGCCACAACTATACTACTAATATAGCTGCAGCATGTCTCTACCACGTATAAATTTTTTACTCAGCGCCACATGAGTAATGACACCGTACCGTATCAGAACTAAGAAAATCTTTAGCGTTAATAATGGTCATGGGGTTCTGAATTTGAATTTGTTGATGAATTGGGACTATAAGCAATGTAATAAGGTGTGGCTGATGACACAGAACTTATTTCGCAAATATAGCATAGCTTGACCAGTTCTTTGTTTATGAAATTTTTCCTTTTGGGATTTTTAAATGCATTAGTTAATTCAGTAATTTTTATTATAATAGAACCCTAGAATAAAAGTAGCGTAAGTTACTCCTAGGCTTACACATAAAATATAGATATATACTGTCGCGGACTTTGTTGTAGAACTGTATAGGAGATCCACCATACATCATATTCGTATAACTCTTACAGTTTTTGCACCGCACGCCAAAATAGCTCGCAGATGACAGAATTTTTCCGACTTACTTAACATTTATCGTTATATTTTGACCAATTTACACAATATCTTTATAAATTATGTGTTTATGAATTATGTGTAACTCTGATGTATGAGATACATAATTGTAAAGTTTCATTAAAATCCATTTGGAAGTTTTTGCATGAAAGAGTAACAAACATCCATACATCCTTACAAACTTTCACGTTTATAATATTGGTAGAAAAATACTTACAAATGTTTATTTACCGACCTGTATTTGTCTGTTATGTATGTATATATTTTATACAGAAGAGACAAATACAGGTAGCCATGACCATTAAAAGGGCTTGTTTATTTCAAAACAAATAAAAAGTAATAAAACAAAGCTCATTTGGTCTTCATCTTCATACTCAAACGCAGTTTAAAAATAGATGGGAAAGATAGAAAATGAAAAAGGACACACACTCTACAAAACCGGTGGAGGCAGATGGTTTTCGCATCTTTTTACAAGTTGTCTTGTGGTAGGCTCTGGGAACATTCCAGCACACATCTTTTGCGTTTGCGAGTACCTATGATGTACCTACTGGATGTAGATACAATGGTAACATGTCTAAACGTAATAGTTTGTGATAATTATATGCATAGAAGTGTTAATAAAATAATAATTACATAAATTAAATTAATAAGTTTTGATGAATTGTTACTGTTTTTTGTAAGTTTTTGAATTTACAATTTAATTCAAAATCTCACGAAACTCATGAAGAATCCCAAAAGAAATAAAGCTATATAAAAAATTAAGTTTCCATAAAAATTACTTCTAATAACATTAGATAACTAAAAATAATAAGATGATTTCCACATAATAGTTTCTCCCATCGTAAAATAATTATTTTTTAAGAACCTATATAACTAAAGACCTTCAAAAATCTAAATGAATCTTTACTCCGTAATCGTTATTTATTTATTGTTTCAGTATTATAAGTCAGTGTTTGTTTAATATCTCACCTGATGATAGGTGACAAAGCACAACAAACATAAACAAACACAAATAAAGCTAAAGATGGCAAAGCGCACTGACCTATCTCGACAAAAGCCTATTCATTCTTGCCTTGAAGACACCCATATAGAATTTGGATGAAAATACAGATGATGGTAATTTATTCTATTTCAACTTTAAAATCTAAGAACTAATGAGCAGTTTTTCAACCCAAAATTATATTATTGTATTGAGCCAGAATTTAACCAAATAAAATGCAAGTAATGTTCAAAGCATATACATATATGCAGCTGTGAGATGCCTATGTAAAACTATAACTGGAATCACAAAAACTAGCTACGCTACTCTTACTAAAACATTGAGCCGACTTTAACTAAAGTTAACGAGTAAAAAACAAACAATTTATGCGATCCATTAACACACACTTCTAAAAGTGCACATCCCCTACCTACAAGGAGCATTGCAAAATTCACTGTCAACTATAATAAATCAGCTGGACTTGCTAGATAAGTTGGCCTATTAGATGGTGTTTGTCTACATGACCGGTTTCTGCCCTGGACAAACGAGCAAACATTCGCAAAGGTTTAAAAGCGGAGATCGGGACTCCGCAGATCATTCCTGTGTCGTCAGTTCCCCGAGGCGTATTCCCGTGACTTCAATATGTGGCGCCTGTTTTACCTGATAGCTGCCGTATCGGCACAAATCCCTTCGCTGGGATTTTGTCCTGACTACCAGGTGAGTAAGCTTTATAATATTTTAATTAATTAATGTAGATATTTCACGAAAATAGTTTTTTATAAAATCATATAGAATTGTTCAGTGATTTCTTTATTCAACATTTTTAAATGCCTTTCCTTTTATCTCTTTATCAAAAATAATGTAAAATTTTGTTTTAAAATAAAACGGTCTCATAGCACAGACTTGTAGTAAGCCTAAGAAATTTCTCCAATTGTTCGTCTATCGAAATCGAATTTACGTTTAAAATCAGAATTAACAACCCTGACATTTAGGACATACTTTGTGTAATAACTCAGCGGCTAGGTACTGTCACTGAATAAATAAAAGGCGCTACTCTTAAATTTCATAGTACGCAAGCAAATATCCGAGTACGTGAGAAATAAGATGGCCTGATCATGGACGGCCAAGTTATTTGGCATAAAATTAATGTTTTTGTAAAGAATATTACCGAATGCTACTAATATCATGAAGTTATCAATATCCCCAATAGAACAAAATTCAACGAATCCATGACGAATCCCAAAAAGAAACACTATTGTTTTAACGGCAATATTTTTTTAATAAAAATTAAAAACCGACATCATATAACTAAAAAGGATAAAATAATGTCCACAAAACAGGTTAAGAAGTAATTGCTTACACTTAGTGTATCGAATAATGAAAGCTCCTGACTTCAGAAGCTGTTATTTGAAAAATGTTTTATTCTTTTTAGTTCATTGAAGCCGGTTCTTACTTTTTAACTGGCGAACCGCCGTGGCTTCGCCCGGGTAGGATCTATTAATTAATCATCAAAGACTTTTTATTTTATCAATAATAATTAAAAAAAATGCTGAGTAAAACAACCTATTACTAATACCTATTATTAAAAATAGTGTTTAGACCTTAATAACGAATAGTAGACCAAGAACGTTACATATTTGACAACTCATAAAATATTTATTGATTTGTTTCAACATGTAAGTTTTAAACTATTAAAACTTAGAAATTTATGGAATAAACAAAAAATACTTTTTTGGTATGGAATATGGATCATTAAAACCCATTTTATTATTATAATTTTAAAAACGGAAGGTTCTGTCCTTGAACTTACACTTTCGGGTCACATCAGGTGTGTTATATAATTAATACGTAGCAATGCTGACCGCATACAAAGAACAACCGGTCGCAAATCACGGTCATTGACATCGCTCCATTAAAACACTTTCGATTTCGATTCTGACAATATAAACATGGAGTTCATTTGCAACATTTGCACGATCGATCACTATAGAAGAAAGATATGTTTCTGTATTGACGTACTAAAACTAAAATGGTTCAATAAAAATAATTGTAACCATTGAAATATAATATATTTATATATAATATAAATAGAAATATGGAAGTACCTATGTAGCACATAATATTATTTCAATGTTTGTAATTTTTTTTTACATTAACGTTAAATATGAATAAAAATATTTAATTCATTAATTATTTTCAAAAGACACCGTAAAAGTAATTGGAAGAGCACAAGGAAATTATTTGCCTAAACTTTGGACCTCTTGAGCAAGGATTTCAAGTATACGAGTAGATACACTTATTTATTAATTTAATCGTTTCTCGTACAGCCCATGGAAGACTTCAACATAAACCGTTTCCTGGGCACCTGGTACGAGGCGGAACGCTACTTCTCTGTGAGCGAGCTCGGTACCCGCTGCGTCACCACTAAGTACGAGAGTACGCCAGAGGGCAGGATTATCGTGTCCAATGAAATCATCAATTCGATGTGAGTAACATCTTTTTTGTTGTCACTCCCGAGGATTAAGATGGAATCCCTCGTCTCCAGTAAAAAGGGCCTCCGGTTTTCTACATTCACCATCAGAAACACAGCAGCATTAAGCTGCTATTTTACGCTGGTATTCTGTGAGAGCGTGATCCTTCCCCGGTCGAACCGAACCATTCTTGCTACAACCATAATATAGCAGCAGCATGGCTCTACCAACTAAACTCAAAATAATAAAAATCTGCTGTTACCAACCCGCCTGTCAAGCTTTGAGGCCTATGTTCAGCAATGGATATATGAATGGCTGTGATGAACGCATATTATTGATATATGTGGTGCTTCAACACATATACAATATTCGTTATTTCAGCTAATATTACTTCTTATCAGGTGTTAATGTGAGTTGATGCTACTTTATCACATGTGCTAGGGTATTCAGAGAACCAGAAATTCAGTAATCATTTATCACCAGGTGGTTTTTAGCTTATATGTTATAAAGAACATGTCTAACACAACAAACAGCAAACAACAGCAATGTTCCCACTCTGTGTTCCGATTTTATGAGCAAGAGAATATTACAGGTTGTATTATTGTAGGATGTTATCAAGAAAATGCTGCTGCCCATCTACTGTTTCAGTATCCCTCTGTCGCCTCTTACCACAGCTACAGGATGATATGGGGTAGTAAATTTTCTTAAACATCATTGTAAACTATTCGAAAGTCGCACTGTGATCGTTAAAGATCAAAACAAAATCATCGGAACAAAGATTTACAATGAGTTTCCTTAACACAGGACTGGAATGAAGAGAGTCTTGGACGGTTACCTGCAGATGATCGGTCGGGATGGCGAGGGACGTATGATCGTTAAGTACGCGGCGCTTCCTGTGCCGTATGACACAGAGTTTAGTGTGCTTGACACAGACTACAATAGTTATGCCGTGATGTGGTCGTGCAGTGGCATCGGACCTATGCATATTCGTAAGTACACGTTATTTCTTCTTTCATCTTTAAAAATCATTTTTTCATTTCACAAATCGATATTTTTTTTTTGTATTAATATTTATTCTATTTAGGCATTAATAATAATAATGTCCTCCAGACCGAATTTCGATCACGTGGCCAGTCTCAACGGAGACTAGCCATTTGCGCAGGACAGAGTTATAGTGCCCGAGTGTAGAGGCAAGAACAGAGTGCACTAGTTAGTACTCTCATAGTTCAATGGGACGGCAATCTGACACGGCCGGTGAGAGATCAGGCGCAGGACCAATGGATTTACGCGTTTTCCGTGGCACGGGGATAAAACACCGCAAACTTCCTGACTCTTAGCTGTTACTGAGAATGTCTCGACAGGAAAACTCAATAACTGATTTTTGTGCAGCAGTAACGTTTACGACCACTACACCATTGAGGCACGCCGCTTGCTGCTTCATGCTCTTTACGTTTTATTTTGCGGTATTAAATTTATAGCATATAGGTACAGGCAATATAGCAGCATATAGGTATAGCAGTAGTTACAGGTTGTGAGGCATTCCATTTTAGTCCTCAGGGGTAATAACGCATCTGTAAACTTTTTTAAGTTGGCTGTAGGTGTCCAAATCTGCAGAAGCCACTTATGGACTGTAAGTTCACTAGTTATTTTAGTTTTATAACAAAAAACCAACAGTATATAACTAATTTTAATAACCATAATTTGTTACTTTGTGATACTGTTTGTTTTTCGAAAGTAAGAATATATTCCAATTATACATAGTATGGTGATATTCTTTAACAAATGAAATCAAAAATATTTCAGATTCTTCATCCATAGGTGTTAGTAAACAATTAAAAATTATCATACTGTTAGTAATATAAATGACACAATTTATTTTAATTTAATCTTGCACCTAGCTGAGAGCCCGACGCATGCAGACAAATCCAGTACCGTAGCAGTGGAAAATCCCACCTATATGCCAATGCGCCCAGAATGCTGTTGGAAGTTTACGTCTTAACAGCGAGGTGCTTCTCTTGCGAATGATAGTATAAAAGCTATTAGTTTGTGCCTCGGCAAACATAGCCAATCCATTGCAAAAACGCAGTAAACCCAAACACCCTAAACCTAAACGCATTGTTGTATTGAACACGCAGAGAACTGTAGGCTCGCTGCGTGTAGTTAACCCAAAGACAGCACGTGTAGAGCGAATGACAATACGCCTTAAAACCTGAGTATAATTTGCTTACTACAGCAATTACAATATACATTATTTATACATTAAATGATAGTATATTTTATGAATTATGGTTTCCAGAAAGCGCATGGGTGTTGACGCGCGAAAGACTCGCGCCAGCTCTGACTTTGCAAAAGGCGTATGCAGCATTGGAAAAATTCAAAGTGTCCAGAGCTTTCTTTGTAAAGACCAATCAAGCAGACTGCTACATTCTGCCTGAACCAGCTGCGTATGCTGAGTTCAAAGAAGCTGGAATCTCAGAAATATCTGGAAAGCACGCCAGCATGGTCCCTGTTCCTTCTGCTTCAAAAACTGAGGCCGTTGTGGAGGTACCTACAAAAGTAAGACTTTTTTCTTAAGATTTTTTTAATATTTTGTTAATAAAAAAAATTGTTTCACTCGTCGCCTTTTAAGATCAAGAATAACCACTCCCCTTATCGTGGGACGATATGGGGAGTGGACATACTTATACCGTTACTACACGGCAAAAAATAAACTAATATGTTTCTTTTCTATATCGTAGAATAAAGTAGAGCCTGAAGTCAAGCCGGAAATCCCCATAATAAAGTCTATTATTCCTGAATCTATTGAGGAGTTGAAAACAGAAATAAAGGAATCTGAATCTGTGAAAAAGGAAGAAAAAATAGAAATTCCAGAGAAGCCAGCTAATATTAAAAAAGATATGCCCGATATGAAGGAATCAAGTGCGTCCAAGGTACAGGATATACCTAAACCTGTACAATAACTGGTGTCTCTCTCATGACGAGCTTGCTAGAACTGTGTATTTAACTAAAGCGATGATTGTGCGAAGCATTCCAAAAGGCTATTGTACCAAAAAAACATAACTTTGTACGCCACGGGTTCGTTATGCTGATGTTTTGCAAACATGTACTTTGCTAGTTAGATTTGCCCTAGTTATTGTATTTGGATTGACTTCTTTTCCGTCAATAAATTAATAAATGAATAAACTTTATTGTAATAATTTTATTTCGTTAATTTATTCCTAGATCATTATGATTTTCTTTATCAATCATAGTATATCTAACGCTGTTGTTTTTATATTATTTTATAAATGTGTATATTTTAATGTACACATTACTTATAGGTGGTAGTACTTTCCTGCCTATAATACTGGAGTACTAATTTCCGCCGTAAGGCTCCAGGGTAAGATTATGTTTTTTTATATAGGATAAGTGTGACAAACGAGCACACAGTCCACCTGATGGTAAGTGGTTGCTGTAGCCCATAGACATCTACATCTATCTTCGTTTGCGAATTAAAATGCAGATGCGTTGTCAGTCGTCAGCACTGAGATAGAAAGCCACTTTTCCAGTAAAAAAGGTCTCCGGTTCTCTATACTCACCATACGAAACACGGCAGCAGTAGGCTGCTATTTTATGCTGATATCCTGTGAGAACGTGGTCGTTCCCCGGTCGAGCCGACCCATTCGTGCTCCAACTATACTATTAATATATCTGCATCATGGCTCTACCACGTTAAAAAATAATATGAATATACGAGTAGCATTTTGTTCGATTTATCTTCGATTAAGAATCAAAATGCAGATGCGTTGTCGTCCTTGAGGACTACAATAGAATGCCTCGCTTCCAGTAAAAAGGAGCTCCTGTTCTCTACACTTACCATACGACTTACGACACAAAAGCATTAAGCCGCTATTTTACGCTGGTATTCTGTGAGAGCGTGGTCCTTCCCCGGCCGAGCTGACCCATTCTTTCTACAACTATACTATTAATATAGATGCAGCATGGCTCTACCACGTTTAAACAACATGTTCAGGGTCGAAGTGTAAAGAAAGCCCAGTATGTATTATCATAAGCTGTAAGACGTTTAATCTTAGTCCAGGCTTTAGGTGACTACTCATTTGTGAATTTCTTTGATAGAACGCGAACACGCCAATTTCGAGTGCCGATTTACTACGTACTGGTACAGGAAAAATAGTGAGGAAGCCTGAATGGTTATGAAATTAAAAATGTTTCAGACATGTGAAGTTCGCTTTTACATGTTAAAATAAATGGTACAGCTCGACAGACCCATTCTTCTCCAACCTTTTCAGAAATGAAAGGAGGCCTGTGCCCACCTTGTATATTTTTTTATAGGATATGGGTGACATACGAGCATACAGTCCACCTGATGGTAAATGAATGCTGTGACCTATAGACATCTTTTTTTTATAGGATAAGAGTAACTAACGAGCACACAGTCCACCTGATGGTAAGTGGTTGCTGTGGTCCATAGACATCTACATCTATCTTCGATTACGAATCAAAATGCAGATACGTTGTCACCCGAGAGGACTAAGATGGAATGCTTCGTTTCCGGTAAAAAGAGTCTCCGGTTCTCTACATGGTGAGCATACGAAACACAGCAGCGTTAAACTGCTATTTTACGCTGGTATTCTGTGAGATTGTGGTCCTTCTCCGTTCGAGTCGAGCCATTCATGCTACAAATATAGCTGCAGCATGGCTCTACCACATTTATATGCTGCTACTTTTAATAAAAATACTAAAGACGTGTTAGTAAACACACCATAGATGAATCATACTCGCTGAATACAATGAAATATAAACAACTTTAACCAAATACTCAAACGCTACTAAATTAAAGATATGGTTAAGTCTTGTGGTGTCACAGTCACTTTAACTTAAAGTGATAGAGACAGCCCGAGACTTAACGGCATCTTAAAATTGAGACGCGTTTGAGTGTTAGGCGATTAGCCAGCTAAATTAATCAGCACTTTTATTAATTTCATGCTTGCCATTCACAATTGTCCAACCGTCCAACTCCAAACTTTAACCCGAACCTGAATTTATCATGCCTCCGTATAGAATATTATGCAAAATTAAAACACCTTAGTGAAAATGAGGTTGTCATTGTAGTGATGTTGCAGGCCACTCAGAGTGGCACACTCTCTTGTGGAATCTATTAACTATTGTTACGCCGATTACAAACGAAGGGTTGGACGGTCCGTGTAGAGCCGGCATAGTCCATACTTAATCATTTAGTAATTGTAAAACATATCTCTTTGAATGTAAGGGGTGCATTTCGAGCAACATATATATTATGAGATATAATTTTTTTTATAACGAATTAAGGGTGACAAACTAGTATATAGTCCATCTGAGAGTATTGACAACTACATCATCATCTATCGTCCCAAAATGAAGATGCATTGTCACCTTTGACAACCTTTGATGTATAAAATGAAATGCCTTGTTTCCATTATAAAGAATCTCTGGTTCTTGAGACTCACCATCACCATATGAAAACAGCATAATTATGATAGCTTTTGTCACTGCTATTCTGTGCAAGAATAGTTTTTTTCCCCGTTCGAGCCGACCCATTTTTGCCACAATACATAATAGATACGAGTAACCTACGCTGCAGCGTAAATCTATCACGTATGGATATTAGTGGATAGTCTAATCCATGCACGTATGTTATACGTTATTTACTCCTTGTTAAATACTCCTATTATGGTGATAATTTTGATAACCAAGCCGAAAACGGATACTCCGATAATTTTTAAATGAGTGCTATACATGTGCACGCAAACATACAAAGTTCTAAAAATTGTCTTAACAAATTGGCCTATGTAATATCGAAAAAATAAACATAACATTAAAATAACACGCCATTCAATTTTACTGAAATCTAAGTGCGGCAAAACACATTTTTTTAATAGTATAATATGGGTGACAAACTAGCACATAGTCTACCTTATGATAAGTGGATGCTGTGACCCATAGTCATCTACAGTTAACCCCGATTAAGAATCAAAATGCACATGCAGATGCGTTGTCACCCCTGAGGACTAAGATGGAATGCCTCGTTTCCAGTAAAAATGGTCTACGATTCTCTACACTCACCATGCGAAATACAGTAGCATTAAGCTGCTATTTTATTCTGGTATTCTGTGAAAGCGTTGTACTACTTCAGTCGAGCCGACCCATTCGTGTTATTACCATAATATAGCTGCACCGTGGCTCTACCACTTACATACTCGTATTTATACTTTCAAAATAAATATTTTCATAAACGACAAAAATTGATTTAAATTAGTCATAATAAAAGTAATCAACAATAGTTATATTTCAAGACTCTTTAAAATTATTGTGAAAGTGAAAATATGCAAAAAGGAAAGGGTCTGATTGTATTGGTCGGGCTGTTACTGAGCGCCCACTCCCGGCCGCTATCCCACTACTGCCCGATACGGGGACTTTTGGCTGCTGGGTTTCCCCCCTGGCCCGGTTCGCCCCTCCTTAGTTAACCTGCACCCCCCAGACTCCTCCGGGGGGTCCATATTAATACCAGGCTTAGTGTGGACGTCCAGTCAACATGGGCCACAAAGCACCAGGACTCCCGACCTCAAACCATCCTCCATTCCCGACCTCCGAGTAGCCGGATTACAGGAGACGCCACGCTCCCAGTCGAAAGATGCTTTGAATTTACAGTATATATAATTAACAAAGTCGTGTATTCAAATCAAACAACAAAACTAAAAAAGTGTTATTAATATTTGCCATATTTGCAATTTTTACCAAACAAATTACAATAATTAAAAAAAAATATTATAAAATATTTTCCCTATTTCTCTATTTCATTATTTAAATACCTAGTAAAAAAATTTGAAGCACTCGTGGCGTCCTCTGCGTGAGTCTAATGGTATTACTCTACCGTCGTATTATGTACCGCGCTGATACTTTTTTGAATGTTTAGGAAGATGGCGCTACTGTCGAATTTTTCCAATTTAGTATTGGACATGAATCTACTTACTGAATTATTAAACTCTTTCTATATATTTTTAATGTCCTTTTTCTAATTTTCGACAAAACCAGGCTCTACAACATTTATTTTGTTGGTATAGCTATGTAGAGTATGTCATAATTATTAAAGTTTCACATCTATTTATGAATTTCCCACTGGGTCAAAATGTTTTTTTATTTCTGAATATTGTTAAGCTCTTAACAAAGATAAGTCATAGTTTATCATCTCTGCTTAAAAGAACATTCACTTCCCTTATAACTTCAATACGGCTGTGGGCTTACTGCTTCTAGGTGGCAGCAATAAGCAAGAGTTTTGTACCCACATAAGGTATTAGGCACAAAAATAAAAAGTAACTCTTCCGGCTCTACATCAAATTCACAATGGCAGTGGCTGTACTGCTTCCAAGCGGTAGCAATAAGCAAGAGTTTTGTACCCACATAAGGTATTAGGCACAAAAATAAAAAGTAACTCTACCGACTCTACATCAAATTTACAATGGCAGTGGGTGTACTGCTTCCAAGCGGTGGCAATAAGTAAGAGTTTTGTACCCACATAAGGTATTAGGCAGAAAAATAAAAAGTAACTCTACCGACTCTACACCAAATATTTCTTCACTAACAACGGTTTTCAACCAGGTAACAACCAGACGTGAATGAGTAATCTTTTCTGTCTTGTATTCACTGAAGTATTTGTCTTTTTTTCTCTGAAGTAAAGGTGACAAGCGAACACTTGTCTATTCGTTTTTAAATGAATCCTATGACTCTATCGAAATTTATCGAAATGTAATCGTTGTCATCTCTCTGAGGTCTGAGATTCTATCTTACACACTTCCTTAAAGTTTCGCTATCTTCTCTAGGAGTCTAATTTAAAGCCGCACGCTCCTCCCTTGTATTTGAGTAGATTTTAGCACATTTACAATGGCAAATATAATAAAAATTCTAAAACTTACTTAAACACTAT